TATATATATATATATATATATATATATACTTATTCTTATGCATATGCATATGTCATATTTTATTCATATGTATATACATCTAGGTATTAATATGCATATGCATATACTTATTCTTATATTCTTATGCATATGGATATGCTTATTCATATGCATATGCATATGAATATGTATATATCATATACTTATTCTTATTCATATGCATATGCATATGTCTTATTAATATATTTATGTGTCCATATCATGATTGTCAAAATGTTGAAAATTAAATGACCCTCATGGCTATTTGAATTGTTGAAAAAGAGTAATAAGGTTTACAATCTTGACTTTTTCAGCTCTTCTGGTTTATGGTTTTTATTGATATTTGTTATATTTTCAAGGGTAAACGATTGTGTGGAAAAGCTGGGAGTCGTGTGAAGTAATTTTTACAAGAGTCGAATGAAGTAATTTTTGATCAACCGTAATAGAATCAAAGACCCAATGGCTTCATAAGAGGCAATATGTAATTTTATGATCAACCCGACTAAGACGTATATTGCTACTGCTAGATGCAAATTGTTGGAAAAATTTAGTGGTAGTTGAGTAGGATCTAGTTTTACTGTGAAATAAACAATAAATTTAATGTATAGTTGATTATTTGTAAAATTATGGGGTTTCATATAAAAAACATTTATATATAAAGATAACTGCAAAATGATTTTTTTGGATTCAATCTAAAAATGTTTCAACTTCCATTGTTGGTCCAAATCAGATATTTTTTAAGGATTTTTTGCCACATTTGATGTAACATCTTGATGATGAGGTATTTCTAATTTTAACCCTAAATATGATGATTATTTGCATTTTAGCCCTTGTGTGTGAAAAGTGTTGCAAAATGGCCTACAGTGACATTTTTGTAATATTTTGGGAGGAGCTCACGTATGTTGGGCGTACATAGTGTACGTTGGGCATACATGCTAGTACCCTAAACCCTAATTTTAGGGTTTGGACCCTATTTAAACATCCTTAAGTCCTTTCCATCAGCCTCCAACCTCATTTCGACCCTTTTTGCAAACCCTAGCCCATTTGTGAGCATTTGAGTGTATTTTGGTTACCTTGAAGGAGGAAGGAAGAAGAGAAGATCATCTTGGAGAAGTGGGACACTTCAGATCCAAAATCTCATCATCATTTAGCATCATTTGGAGGTAAAAAGCTCGGGACTTGGTTAAGTGTTGATTAGATCTTGTTTAGTCGTGAAATGGTGTTCTTTTAGTTCCATAAGCTTGGTATTATGAGTATGGATTACTCTAATCCATATAAGTTGTCCCTTCAGACGTTCTGGAGCATTCAAAGGCATACAAATGTAATCTTGATTGTTAGTTTCCTTCCATGCAAGAGTTACAAAGTCTTAATGGGTAAGTAGTTAGGTTTTTGGTTGTTGGGCACCTTCTAGCCATGCTATACCATTAAGTTAGAAACTTTATGGTTAAGGACGTGACTTAAGGTCTAGATCTGGAATATGAGCAAAAGAGCTTAAGGATTAAGCTCTTAATAAGAAGGAGAGGTGGCCAGGTGCATACGTTGGGCATACCAAATGGTACCTTGTGCGTACGAGGTCAATGCCTCGATTGCATGGTCAAGCCTGAGTACGCCCCGCGTACAGCTGAGTACGCCTAACGTACTCAGCTGAGTTGACTCGGTTGGTTTTGTTGACGTTTGCCTTGACCAGGGTTTGACCAATTTTTACCTAAGGGTATTATGGGTATATGATTACATGTTAAGTTTGGCTATGATCTGATTAATAGGTGGCGGGTAGAGCCGATATCCGGAGCAGAGATTTATTCAACTATTGTTCGGACTGAGAAGTGAGTCTTTCTCACTGTACTTATGGGTCGAAGGCACCAATGCCGACCCACTAAGCTATGTGTCCTAGTTTAGATGATATTGTTATGATGAATTGATCTGTTAGTACTGAGTACTGGTATATAGGGTGTTGTTATGTGATAGTGATTTGTAGATCTGTCTGTTAGTTTGTTGACTAGTTATATGATTATTTGTTAATGTTATATGCTACCTATTATGTACATGTCAACATAGTATGGTTGGGTTGAGGCGTTGTTGCTTTGTGCGGAAGCCAATAACCTGGGAGCAAGCCAGACATAGGATGTGGGCCCGAGGGGCAAGCCAGACTTATGTTGTGGGCTCAGGAGTAAGCCAGACATGAGTTGTGGGCCTGGAGGCAAGCCAAACTCATGGTGTGGACTCAGGGGTAATCCAGTCTGTAAGCTGTGGACCCAATATGCATGTTGTTATTTGTTGTGTGGTGGTACTTTGGAGGAAACTCACTAAGCTTTGACTTACTTCAGTTTTATGTTTCAGGTACTTCGTATGACCGGGGCAAGGCGAATGCGTGATCATACACATCCTTTGATGATATGTTTTGAGAGATTTTTATGATGCATTGATTTTGGGAGTATTGTATTTGACACTTGATTTGATATGGTTTGGGTTGAAAACAACGGTTTCTTTTAAATTAAAAACACAAATTTTTATTGTGATTCTGGAATGTTAGAAGTTGGTTTCAGAGCCCTGGTTTGAGAGAATTGGATGAACATTCATGTGAGTCCAGCCTCAAACTAAGGAACTGGGAAGGTTTTTCAAAAGTAACCAAGCAGGGATGCGATATGTACGGTCAGCCAGAGCAAGAAGTATACCCCAAGTTACCACACTGTTATTTATTATTTATGATTATGATAGAACTACATGCTAGTGATAGGCTAGGGATCTTCAGGGATTGCATGATAGGATTGCTTGATATATGATTCCTGATAGCCTATGAGGACTTCTTGTATGATTAGATGAAATCAACATCATTATTGTAGTTGCTTAGTGTGTGCGTCATAGTTGTGTATAACTAAGATCTTATAGCCTGAGAATGTTTGACTTAGCCTTATTTCATGTTCTTGTCTGATGAAGGGTTTAGGGTAGGGTCAAGTATTCGACTGTCTATAGGATCCAACATTATGTATGATTAGCATGCACGGGTGTTCATAGGGTTGGTGGAAGTTTCATGAGTAAGTATGTGTAGGTAGTAGGCCTGTTAAGGAATGATTAACTGCTCTTGGGATAGCGAGGATAGGGTGTATGTGTATCTTAATTGTGAATTTGTTGTCGGGTAGTTTGTGATGATACTTGGAACAAATACGGGTAGGTGTGGAAGGTAATATGGGCCCGTACTACTGGAAGCACATCACCCGTACGCGTAACAAGCGAGTCAAAAACCAAGAGGGTTTAGCCTCTCTGTGATGATTGAATAGTATGAATGGTGGCATTTTCTAATGTATCTATTGGTTTCTTTTCAATATGGTGTTTACGAGAGGATATGGATCCGGATCTGGAGCGAGTGGTCAGGATAGGCCGTGGCTGACTGAGGATCAGATTCGTGAGATGATTGCTGCTGAGGTGGCAACTACGATCCGGAGTTCTATCCCAGAGTTGTTTGGGTCTATCAAGACCACCATGATTGAGCTATTCGATGAGCGTTATGCTGCATTGACTGAGGCTGCTGTAGCCACCGCAATTGTTGTTGCCAAGGGGATTCGAGGGGAAGGATCATTTCAGTATCGGGACTTCGACAACACGAAGCCCCTGCAATTTTATGGGGGCAAGGACCTGATTGTGTCTATGAGGTGGATGTCTGATGTGGAGGGATGTTTCTAATGGGTTTTATGCATAAGAAACAATCCTATGTGCTCATACAAACCCTAATGCTTGGATCTAGGTTTCTC